CTACTTTAGGCTAACTAAAATGTGCTGGTGTAGAAAATGAAATATAGTGGGTGGAGGCAGGATGCGAAAAAGTCTCTTAAATGTCATCACTAGAGAACTATCACTGCAAATAGTCAAAGAGATAATTATAGTTACAAAACAGGAAGTCAAGCCCAATGCTGACAAAATTGACTTCTGATCACTATTTTCAGAAGTATCCTCAGAATCATGAGGATTTTCTTACTACAATGCAGAAAGTTACCACTAAAAATTGAAAGCGTTATAAATGAGATTCCATTTTAGTTTTGCATGCCCACACATGCTAAATGTAGTTGAAATTTCAGTTTCACAAAGGATGACATGCCAAATGACACCATTATTTAAGCTTTTGGAGAGGGATTGTTATTAGCTGAAGTTCAAATTTATGGTGCATATCACTTTATATTTTTTAAGAGCGGGAAAACTCAGTGGGAAATTAGCAACAAAATGCTAAATCTGAACAATTTTTCAGTTCTTCACTTTTAAACTGAAATCAGTGACAACAGGCTGTATCAGGCCATGGAATAGAAACAAGTAGGTGCTGTTTCCTTCTTCATCTCCTCTGAAATAATATATCATCATGCAGAACAGGGGCACTCAATGGTTGAAATACAGTTCAATCATGATTGTAGAGAATGACCTACTGGTGTTACCATCTCTTTGATTCAGCCACTATCCTCCACTCCCTTTTGTACCTACAGTAGAGGTAACTGAGTCTTTGGGAATAGTATTATAACAAAAATAATAAACAAACCTGGGACTTATTCTCAATATTATGACTAAATGGTTCTTTGCCAAAAGGCAATTGGACTTTGTTTTTCTTTGAAAACATTTTGCTTTTCATCCAATAATCTTTTTCAGTTCTGACTGAAATTGGAGGATGGAAGAACTGAAGTCAGAGCTGAAGAACTTTCTTGGATGAGAAGCAAAATGTCTTCAAGGAGAAACAAAATCCAGTTGTCTTTTGAAAAAGCACCTTTGGGACAACCATCACTTGGATGACAGAGAATCTCCATCGACATTATGATTACATGGGATTATATGGAGAAAAGTAAGTAGGAACAAAGCAGGTGAGAAAATTACACACACACACACACACACACAGAGCAAGGGAAATTTTTCTAGTTGTGTCTATTTACTGGCATTCACATAATCACATTTTGTATATAAAATATATGATTAGTTGAGGTTGCCTAAATTCAAGTAACATGGATTGTACCTCAAAAATTTAGATGGGCAGCTTCTTGTTTTGTTTTTAACATGACTTTTGCTAATCTCCAAGAGGTCTTTGAGGTTTTAACTGTAATAATTGTAACTTTGTTCTTTAGTAGAAAACTGTTATAACATTTGCTGTATCCTGGGTCAATTGCTTTGATGCTTCATGTGTCACTTCATGAATTTTTATAACCTTCACTTCATTGAGGTGGTCTGGTGGCTAATAGTATACTGCTGGCAAGACCAGAATATCAAATGGTAGAATGAGACTCTCAGTATTTAGCAAAAATGGATACTGACAGACAAAATTACAAACAACTGAAAAAGAAAGTATTGTTATCTGGAAAATATATATTTGGCACTCTTCTCACTGTCAATCATGTGGCTGGCACAGGGTTTAAAGCAGAATGAGTGGTTTTACTTGGCCTTAAATATGAGTTTTAAAACAGATGTTGGTTGCAAAAGACATTTTAAAAATCAGGAACCAACCTACCTTTATATTCGTGAAATTTTAGAAGTGAATGATCTAGTGTGACTCATTATTATAGTAGCAATTTCTAACAAAATGACTGGCATTAAAACCAAGCATTAAGAAGGGATACTGTTGCCTGTTCTTCTACGCTGTCTGGAGAAAATAACTTTGTAGTTCTACTCTTCAGCTCTTCATCCAGGTCTACAGATGTGGGACTGAATCGACTCTTTGTCATATTGAAATCAATGTCAGCAGAGTATAATGGCAAGGAGATGCTTCTGCTATATACAATAACAATACTATTACCATAATGATGAAGGGAGAAACCCCCCCCCCCACTTGGCTTCCCAAGTATAAATCAGCTTTGCTAAACTATCTCTCTAGAAGTATGGTATAAACTCTCAGAATTCCTCACCACTCTGGCCAACAATCATCCCAACAAGAAATTCTCTGATAAAGAAGTCCAGCAGCACATCTGGAAGGGACTATATTTGTGGTTTAGGCACAGATTAATGGAAAGGAGTGATCTGAATTATATGGGTAGACAGTGAAGGAAGAAATCATACTGTTCCTCCCGAAAACAGAGATATTGAGTGGAAAAAGATATTTTGACGAGGTCCCACTCGCCATGGGGTCCCCAACCCTGGGTTACGGCTCACTACTAGGCTGCAGCCTGTTTCAAACTTTGTGGATCAGAAGTGAAACATTTTCAAAGAAAAAGCCAGGAAGTCCAGTTGCCTCTTGAAAAAGCACCTTTGGGACAACCATGACTGAGATGACTGAGAATCTCTGTAGACATTGGGCAGCTTACAATTACTTATAGCAGTAACTTTCACTAAAGCAGCTTTCTTCTGTCCTATTGATATGTACACTAGTTTATTTAATTTGCTTTTATATAGTAAACTCTTGGATTTATTCAAATAGTCGGGATATTGAGTATCCATTAAAGCACAACATCCAAATAAGATTTCATGCATATGCATTTTATATAGTTCATGCATGTGTGAAACTGCAAATGAGGTTGTGATTTGATTTGATTTAATTTATTCAATTTAGGATTCACCTGGATTCTGAGAGGTGGTATAATAAAACCAAACAGAATACAAAATACACATAATACAATAAGATTACAAACAAGTAAGAGAATAAAGAACATTTATACGTATCCAGAAGCACAGGAACCCAATCAGAGCCTTTTTAAAAAATTGGCTCATGGGTGCTCAAAGATCCAGATGCCCGCTGGATGGAAGCAACAACGTATCGAAAACTCTAATTCTTTGTTACCATCTAGTGTTTATATGAAGTTTTGTAGACCTGATTCTGACAGACTTGGTACCATATTTCCACAATGATAAACTGGTGCAGCAAACTACAAAGGTTTTTTATTTGCAGAATTAAAAGAATAAAGAAAACCTGATATACTGAGAACAAAACTCAGTACAAACAACATGTGGGATATGCAAGAACCACTAAACTATTCCTAAGCCTCAAAAATAGTAATTGTTCCACTGTAACGATTCAGCCAGAATTTGTGGAGCTGGATCAACGGTATGGTAATTCTTTGGCTAGTACTGTATAATAAACTTTATACTGCATTCTGAATTTTTGTACATGTACATAAAGAAAACTGTATTTATGTTTATATATCACAATGTATTATTTATGTTTATATATCACAATGTATTATTTATGTTTATATATCACAATGTATTTGGGGGCATTAAGACTTATTACTGGGAAATCTGTCCTCAAAGCAAGAGGACCTGACTATTTCATTACATTCTTTTGCTCCCATCAATGAGCTAAGTTTTTGTGTAGGAAAAGATTATATATAAATGATTTCCAAAAGGTAAAGTTATGTATAGTTTTTATACTTACTGTTGGTCAAATTTTGCTAATATAACTAATTCCTCTCTCACACACAAATGTAAGTATAAAATTCCTGAGAAAATAATAGAAATTTTATTTTTTTATTTATTGAATTTCTATGCTGCCGATCTTACTGATATGTGAAAATTACTCAAGTACTTCTTTCTAATATCAGCTCTTATAATGCAGCTTTTCAAAGGTACACATGCCAAACATATGTTCTTTTCCAAAACAGTACAAATATTCTATTTCTGTGTACTATTTTTCCGAACTGTGTTCTTTTTTCAATTCTCTTCCTTGCAAACAAGTGAGAGTTTTTCAAAGGTTTTATTCAATGCTATAGTCCTTGGAATGATAGAAGCTTATCTGACAAATCTCATAAAACTGTTATCTTAAAAATGCACAAAAGGTTTTTTAATGGCTTAAGTCAGAACAAAAACAACTGTGCTGCACAAATCACCATGAGTGAGATTCTGTTTAAAATATTGGTGCCTACGTCCCTGAGACAGTGGATTCTGAGTTGTTGCCTAAATAGTTGACAACTTGGTTTGTGGGATAATGACTTAGAATAGTTTTTATTGTAACCAATCATTGAACTCTGGGGACATTTACTTTTATGGGTTCTGCAGCTTTGGGGGAAGGTTGAACTGAACTCTTAGACCAGGATCAGTAACCAGCAGCTTATGGGCTGCATACAGCTTCAACTTGAAGTTTGTCTAATTCCTAAATATACTTTAGTTGACTTCTTTTCTCCTTAGGGTGGTGCTAACAATACTTCCTGCCAATAACTAATAGAGAGAATTACAGGGCAGCATGTTCATATAACTAATCTTTTTTTCTCTCTGCCAACATGATTGATTAATGTCTGTTTTTTTAAGCAGTATGTTTTCTGTATATTTTCAAGTCCCCAAAGTTCCAACCTTCAAGATTATTAGTCACAGAATAGCAATAGCACTTAGATTTATATACCATTTCATAGTGCTTTACAGCCCTCTCTAAGTGGTTTACAGAGTCAGCATATTTTCCCCAACAATCTGGGTCCTCATTTTTATCGATCTTGGAAAGATGGAAGGCTGAATCAACCCTGAGCCACTCAGAATCTAACTCCTGGAATGAGCAGTGAGCCAGCCTGCAGTACTGCATTGGAGTATTATCAGAATCTTATTTAATGAGACTGACAAATGTTGGATGTTAGTAGATGTATCCATCTTCAAGGAGATACATTATACTCTTACATTATCCAAGGCTATTCCACAATTTGTACAGAAAGACACTTTTCTTGATTCTACAATGCCACTGAATGTTTGGCTTTTATCTTCAATTTTAAACTTCGCTGCATGTTTTAAAATAAAATACACAACATTTATTTCATGCCACTTAAAATTTATTTATTTCATGCCACTTAAAATTAGAAATAAATTGTTACCATTAGCAGGAAGATAGGTGAAAAGTTGATACTGGCTTCTCTTTCTCTTTCCATTGCAGACATAGAAATTGACTTGGACAGGACTTGTAATTCTCTGATTGCGGAATGGTGGAATCTCAGCAACTAATAAAGTCTAAAAAGAGGATAAAAGTATGTTAACAGTGAATCACAGTTAAAGAACATTTGAATCACAAGGGGAAAAAAAACAAATACCCTGGCAGGCACTGAAAAAGGTAAATGACCTGCTTTAAGAACACCGGAACATAAGATTAGCCCTGTAATCATTATCATTAACATTTCTTGAGAGCATATCCTCCTAAGAAAACTCCTATCATGCAGCTAGTTTACTGCCGAGACAGGCTAAAGTTTGATCAAATAATCCAACAAGAAAGATCTTCCATGGGAAAAACAAGAAGACCCTTTGCAGACATTAAATTGGGTTGGAAACCTGTTGAGTTCCTACTCAATATAGGACCCAACCTCCCATCAGACTGAGGACTCTGGAATTCCATAGCCATACTTATATGGCTGCCAAGGTGCAATTTTCAGTTCTTCTGTAACTATCTCCTTTCTTTTTTCTTATACTTTTTTTCATAGGTCTTGTAATCCTCATAGAATTCGTGCAGAAAAGCAAAGAAGGTGAACACGGTCCGTAAAGGCTTTCTCCTTTATGAGAATTATGAGCCCTATTGTAGGCAGGGCCCTTGGGAATACAACTCTAGAGTTGTGATTGCAACTTCTGCACTACTCCTCAGTACTGAAATGGTGCTTCTCTCGTTTTTGCTTGATGCTCCAGAACCAGATACCTTTGGGGTCCCTCTTTCACCCACCCATCTTCTTCCCTGTATCATGCCATCTATCTTAATGTGGCAGAACCTCGATACACCTGGCTACTCTGGTGGTGGCAGTTCTGGTGCTTTATTGCATGTAATAGTCTTTTTAAAAGATGGAGGTGAGTTTAATGTCAACCCATTTAACTGCCAAAGAATGCCAGGCATGCTGGTTTCTCCACTGCCTCCTTCCTCTGCAGGTCCAGAGAAGAGGGGAGGATCACTGCAGAGCTGTAGGAAATAGTAGGCTGTGAGAGCAGTATTTCTTTAAAATCCCTTTTCAAGAACAGAAGCATATCAACAGAATGGTGTGGAGGAGCTCTTAGCTTAGCATTTAGATTTTCATAATGGATACAAGAAAACTTGCACCTAGTATTTGAAAGCATGTCAGCTCCATCCATTTCAGAAGTTAGTGGGTTCATAGACTGTCCTCCATACATTTATCTAGTGTCCTTTTTAAGCCATCCAAATTAACTATTCCAACCATGATAGTCCTATTCGCAATGGTCTTTGCTCTGGCCCTATTTAAAACTTGGCTGTTTCCAGAACCAGGTTAGGGTGGGTGACGGATCCCATATATATGTTCTGTTGCTTTTTCCTGAGTTTTGATTTTTAAATTTTTGTTGTTGTACCTTAATAGCTGCATTTGCAAGTTACTGAGAATCAGAACAGATTAGGGAGACATCTACATTTCATAAATGAACAAATGATTACCATGCCTTTTACACTTATACCTTACATTTAGCTTTATTATTAGAAAAATGTAATTAAATGAGCCAAAGACTTATGATTAAAAACATTATTTAAATGAGAGGGAGCTGTTTGAATTGAAATAGGCATTTTTAAAAGCCCAACTTCATCTTGACATTTACGTAGGGTTTACGTATAATTAATACGATGATAAAATAAAGTGAAGAAAAGGCACAGATAAGCACGTCCAGAGAAGCAGCACCGTATTTTTCAAAAGGCAAAAGAGGCACTTACTGGCTTACACAACTCTTTGTCAGTTTTGGCTTCCATTTCCCACACATGATGACCATCTAAAGATAAGGACATGAAAGATCCAAATTAATGTGCTTAGTGCTTTATAACTCACACAAATAGAAGGGAGGGCTTCCCTTTTAAAATATCTTTATTATGCAGACATGATATTCAAGATGAGTTCAGTTTTGTAGTGAATAAAGAAATAAACACTTCTATTTAAGGACATTTGAGGAAGGGAAGGGAAGGATTTATCCACTGATTCTGCTTCCACAACCAAAGACCTTGTCCAGTCCCCTTTGTTTTTGTCTAATTGGGCAGAGTTGCCTAATTCATGAAAACCTTCTTTAAAAAGAAGTAAGGTCTCTTCCCACTTGTGATAAACTCACTGCAAAGTAATTATCACCTGCTAGCTTTTAATTTTTTTAAAAAATGTGTCTTTTATAAAATATAACATAATGTGGTTGTATGTTTGATTTTATCTATTCCTTCATATCAGAGTTCAATTGTAGCTTATATTGTGTCTAATAGAAAGTTTTTTTTTTTACAGAATGTAGAGCAGGGGTCTCCAAACTTGGCAACTGTAAGACTGGTAGACTTCAATGCCCAGAATTCCACAGCCAGCATGGCTATCTGAAGAATTCTGGGAATTGAAATCCGCAAGTCTTAAAGTTGCCAAGTTTGGAGAGCATAGAAAAGTATAGAAAAGATAATAGGCAAGTTATTGAGTAGGTGACATGAAGTGTCTGTGTTGGCCTTACATTAGGGCTGTCAAACTCCCGGCTAGAGAGCATCATGCGCTGACCACGCCTAGTTTAACAAAGGGAGAAAAAAGTCCCGATACATCATGTGATGCCATGACAACGTGAGTTTGACACCCCTGCCTTACATGAACCCTCCACTGATTATGTAACTGTCAGCATTCCAGCAAACCTCCATTCCAATCAATAACTCTGAGACAGACATATCTCAAAGGTATCTTTATTTGGATAGTAAACTGGCACATCTGTGGAATCCCGAATCTGAAAGTTTTCAGGCTTCCTTGCAATATTCAAAACTACAAATTCATCCCCCCTTGGCCATCATCACATCAACATGGCCCAATCACGATCTGTCCTAAAGTAGGATTCTTATTACATTCTGTGCCATACTCAATGACCTTGAACTAACAAAAGAATTTTATTTTGTCTATTTAGAGCTACTCAGTTGAATCCCCCCTCCCACTTTCTCAGGCTTGTGGCAGCGTGGGAGCATCAAATCTCAATATGGCTTCCAAAGCTGACTGTAATGTCAGAAGGTCCACATGAAAGATATGCTTGGGCTAATGTTGATGAAAGTTTGATTAAGGCCAATTGTGCTAGAGATTTGACCAGTGAAAAGCGTAATGTGTTCTCGGGCTTTTGATATTAATAGAATGCCTTGGAAAGGCTAACTGGGTCTAATGAGGAGCAGAAGTATATTCCAACCATGCCCTTTTCTGGCTCAAGGCTTAATTCTTAATTCTTTCTTTCATTATATTGTGGTAACATTGTGGATTCAAGCTAGGAGAAGCCCAGGTCAAATGCCTATCCAGCCATAAAGATTATAGGATAACTGTGGCCAATCATAATTGCACATCTTAATTGATTTCTCCAGGTTATGATGATTAAAAATGAGAAAAACATTTTCTGTCCCAAAGTCCCATCAGTAAGGCTGAATGAAAATACTCTGGGTAGAATAATCTAAATTGATATCCATTTGTCTTTCTGTCACTTATATAAATGAGCAACAGAACTTTTAAGCTTTGGTATATTTAATCCATTCGGAAAAGAGGAATTGCTCTGTTCTGTTTTCTAGTTTTCAAGCTGGTAAAGCATATATGGGTGTTCAGGAAAGTACATTTTAAGAATAACATAAGTTTTTTAATAAAAAAAAGTCCAAAAGTAGGAATGATACTAAGTGTGCTTGGCAATCTGAAAGAAGCAAGCGTTACTGCTGCTGTATTACGAAATTCCCCTGAGAATCTCCAGACTTTCTCTATTACAGAAAAGGAGGGGGAAATAAATTACTTAATAAGAATAAATTTCATTTAACAAAAGCAGAGTAAATCAGTTATGGTGCTTTGAGTCAGTTGGTGCCTATATGGACAGTTCCATGCAGTTTCTTGGCAATGTTTCTGAAGTGGTTTGCCAGTACTTTCTGGGACTAGGAAACAATGGCTGGCCAGAAATCATCCAGCTGTTTTTCATGCCTAAGGAGGATTAAAACTCACTATCTCCCATTCCTAATCCAGGGCCTTTAACTGAAAAGTTGAGGGGGGGGGGATGAGAGGGTAAGGGAGGAGAGGAGAAGGGGGAGCGGAGGGGAAAGGAGAGTTGAGTAGAGGGGAGAGGAGAATGGAGGGAAGGGGAGGAGAGGAGGGTGGAGAGGAGAGGAAAGGAAAGGAAAAGAAAGGAAAATAAGACAATTCCTCATGTTACGTCTGGTGAACCAGAAGGGAAATCTCTACACCCACAGACTGGGATCTACTCCAAAAGAGAAATCCTAGAGCATTACACCAACATCATTACAGTAAACATATTTTGTAAGTATATATGGATCAACCTATTTATTTTTAAGAAAAGATACAGGAATGGATGAAATAATTTTTAGGAGTTTTAAAATGCTAAGAAGTCTTTCTTATCCTGGGGAAAAATAGTTTTATGTCAGTACAGTATTTGCCAGTTATCCTATCCAAGTATGCAAGATGCTGTTTCTCCTCAGACTGTGCTAGAAAAGTGAGGTGTGATACACCACAAAAGTTTCCATTGTAAAGCTGCCACATCTGCATCAGCCTGGCTGACTCACAGCTGAAGGCAACTCCCTGCCTGGCTAAAATCCAATGAAAGTACACAAGAGCAATTTATACCTTTCCAAAATGCAAATAATTCAAATTACAGACATAACATAAAGTTGAAATAGACACATTTCAGGCATTCCCCGTTTGAACTGAACTTACTGAAGGTTTTCTTCCCAAATGTTGCTTATTATATATGTAGAAAATGCCAATAAAGCAAAAAGTAGCAAACCTTTCATCTCTCATCATCTATTTCACCAGAGAGAGAGAGAGAGAGAGAGAGAGAGAGAGAGAGAGAGAGAGAGA